GGTTGAGCCCAGTTTAGCTTAGTTCTTTCCCTGTTCCACCATAAGTGATTCAGCTCAAGTGCCTTGTGGTAATTAGCACAAGCAGCTGAATCAGGTGTGTTAAATGAGGGGAAACCCAAAAATGTGCAAGGCTCTGGCCCTGCAGGATTGGATTTGGGCCCCCCTGGTCGAAGGCATTCACTGGCCAATCAGGAATATTCTCTCATGAATATTAAGGAGTGTTCCAGAACCACCCTGTAAAAATGCAAATTCACATTTCACACTTGAGGAGAGAGTCTGATGTCACTGCCTACGGGTGCCGTCTTATACAATACAAATGAATCTCGCACAGAAAACACATACACTCGCGACATGTGCAAAAAGAACGAATGCAAAGGATTCTTTTTTTGTGAAATTAAAGATGTACAACAACATCAGAATATATTTTAACCATCTTACACTCCCACACAAAGACAATATGAGCAGCTATAAAGTATTTGTAAAAAATATTTTTAAAAACGACTAAATGAATTGATAGTGTTTTTGGTGATGATTTTGATGTTTTATTTTTCTTATTTGGATGTTGTCTAAAATGACACAAACAGAAAGTCACCTAAACACAAACATGGAAATCCATCTACACACAAAAGCCACACTCATCACAACAACTGTGTGAATACAACCATAACATAGTATTAGTGGTATTATTAAAAAAAACATGCAAACACACTTACATTTCTGTAAGCCTGGTCTGGTCCTGCACTCTCCACTGTGGTCCACACTATAGGAGAAGCAGAATGACATAGTGCTGCTGTATCCATTTATTTATTGGTGCCTCTTCTTCACATACATGCATAAGTATCTGTAGCGTCAGACTCACACTCTGTACTCACTTCAGCTTCTCCAGTTTACAGCTGGGATCCTCCAGTACAGCAGAGAGCAGCTTCACTCCTGAGTCTCCTGGGTAATTGTAACTCAGATCCAGCTCTCGCAGATGTGAGGGGTTTGACCTCAGAGATGAAGCTAGGGAAGAATAGCCTTCTTCTGTGACTCTACAGCCTGACAACCTGCAGAGAGACAGACAAAGGCTCCCCAATAAATAAGATCACCTCACCATTACAAGCATTACTTTTAAGTAAAAGTGACTGTTCTAATAAATATTTCAATAATCACGTGAAATTAACAACACCTTCCGAACATTTTACAATAACCTATACTCCTCAGAACAAGAACCAGATGCAGTTGATATAGAATCATTTTTAAATAATCTAGACTTACCCATATTAACCAATGAAATAGCAGATACCCTTGATGACCCATTAACATCAGAAGGACTCCCTAAGTTCCTCAACTAAATGTCTAACAATAAAGTGCCCAGACCAGATGGTTTCCCTGCAGAAATCTATTAACATTTTTGGGATGTATTATCTCCAGTCTTCAATAGACAGATAGAGAAATTAAACAGACATCACAAATTCTATCACATATGAGCACAGCTACCATTACAGTGTTATTGAAACCTGATAAAGACCCAACACAACCCTCCTGTCACGCCCAGCTCCGTCCGATCCTAATGTGTGCCACGCCCACCTCGTTACCTCCTGTTTCTGCCTGACTGTTCTCACCTGTTGCTCGTTACCCTTAGCTTGTCTTGTGTATTTAGTCCTCGTCTGAGTCAGTCTTCCCCAGACTTGTCATTGATGTTGTTTTGCGTCGTGTCTGATCCTGTCCTGTTCTGCCCGTCTGAGACCAGTAAATCCCCGTTTATTGGACTTCACGACTCCGCTTGCCTGCTTCCCCATTCGCTTGCACGCCGTACGTGACACCTCCAGTTACCAGCCACTCACACTAATGAATACAAACTGGAAAATCATTACAAAAGCTCTCGCCACTCGGTTAGAGACAGTCATTCCTACTATAATCCATCCTGATCAGACAGACTTCATCAAGACAAGACATGCCTCGGACAACATCCGTAGATTATTTAATTTAGTCAATATTGCTCAGCATACCCATACTAAAACTCTGAACTCATTAATGTCACATTTTTACTGGAAAAACAAAAATGCAAAAATCAAACATTCCACATTACAAAAAAATAAATCTCAAGGCGGATTACAAGTGCAGATTTTTCTTCATTTTTAGTTAGCAAATCAACTGCAACAATTAACTAAATGGTCACACTACATGGTTAGAGCAGAAGCAGCTGTATACTGTAAAAATCTTAGACGTGCAGACTTACCCTTTCTCAATATTTCATTAAAGAAACATAACTGCTTTAACAATTCTGCCATTTGCACAACACTGACAGCCCAGTGGAAAGCCATTAAAATCACACACTGCACTTTCAGACCCTGTAAATACACCCCAATATATAATAATCTGGAATTCCTACTTCACAATCCCACTATTAACTGTCACTCATGGGAACAGAAAGGGATTACACATCCCATTCAAAGACTCAATCCATAAATAATAGGCAATAATAGAGAATAGGCAATTTTTGGGTGTCACAGATGATTATCTGCATGCTATGTGGGCCTGTATACCCGCTCACAGTGCACCACGGGCGTCACAGATGATTATCTGCATGCTATGTGGGCCTGTATACCCGCTCACAGTGCACCACGGGCGTCACAGATGATTATCTGCATGCTATGTGGGCCTGTATACCCGCTCACAGTGCACCACGGGCGTCACAGATGATT